TAGTAGCCCCGTTGCGGAATGACAGGCAGCATGGGATCAATCCCAATGCAAACCCCGACAAGGAAAAAGCAATCACTGGTCTAAGTCAATAGAAGGGGCGACTACCCCAACAGCAGGTGAAATCAATCTTCCGGAATACCGGAATGTGACCACCCTTATGATGTCATGAAAGATTGCATTATTCATTCGTTCACCAATTACATCAGTTCCATTCTCAGACCATAAATTTAATTAGGATACGGTATCGTATTCATAGTCGACCATGCAAGACTATACTTTCCTACTTGTTAGTAATGTATAACATACATATATGTATATATATGACACAGTAATTTATATTTTGTTCGATTTGTTGAATACATAATGTTATGTTAAATACATAAATAAATATTCCAAAATTAGTGAAAATTACATTTCACGATGGATTTTTAATGAAGCCTACAGAAATGTATTTAATATAATTGGATTTGCATATTTTATACATGGCATTCTAATTGATGAGTTTGAATTAGAAATTTATACTGCCAACATACCACATACATATGTACGTTAGTGCCCCGAGAAAGAGTCCTTTTATACCCACCATCAAAAAAGATGGGCGATATATTTTCATGAACATTATATAAATAGAAATTAAATTTAGATTTAAGAACTTCATGTAGGAAATACGAAGAATACAAGAAAAATAAAAAATATATTTTTAGAATGGTCCTCACCAACCAGCTGGTTCCCTACCAGCCTGACCTTAATGTAATTTTTGAAAAATTAAATTTTTTCGATTTTTTCGAAATGGGTCTCTAAAATTCCGTAATTTCGAGCTGATAACGGGAAAAAAATTTATTTGTATAATATTTTTGGTCCACAAAATTATTTTTAGTGGATTGGAGAGGTACCTATGTATATTGTTTCGCTCTTTTTCGAAATCGGTGTCAAAATTGTCGTAATTTTTAGCTCATACAGAAAAACATTTAAAGAATAGTTAGGCATTTGGTTTAGTCCGTTTCAGAATTTTTTGAGATTGCAGAGAACTTTTTTATGAACATATTGTACTGAGACCTTTTAAAAGAAATTGTTTTTTTATTTTTCTCGTATTTAGTACATTGAAATGCATCATTTTAGAGGTATTCCTCTTTAAAAGTTGTCCACGGGACATCCTAATGTACATGGAACTAATTTCGGTGAAGTTTTTGTTAAATCAGAAACTGTTGCTGTGTGCAAGGTTTAGGCTAAAAATTTCATGATATTTTGAAATTTTGGGCCTAAGAGCGGAACCTATTGAAAATAGTTGAAATCGGTCGATTATTTCGCCTATACCATATACAACCGGATCTTCCGATTTGCACTTTTTCGTTTATAACAAACTTTTATATAAGCGTAAATGGCGCTTCAGATTTTTTGTAATGATAGGTCATGATTTTGCCCTTTATAGAATGATTTAAATAAGTATTGACTTCTATAAAACTAGGTATGAAGTTATCTATGTGATATTTAACATTTGTCTCTTTCAGAGAAAAATTACATAAAATTGAGCCATGGCATTAACTAGTATTATATGATTTATATAGAAAACTAATTTCCAGTTTTTCTAGTCTAACAACTACTACTGAGAAATATATATAATTATCTGTTTTTAAACTGCGTTAACATTTTTTTATATAAAACGGCATCCATTTAAATGATATCAATATCATGATAGAAGTTTATTAATAATTGCCACTTAGAACATCAAATACGGCGAAATATTTAAAATGCAATTTTTATATTGAAAAATAAAAAGTTAAAAAATAAATAATTTGTCATAAAATACATGGATAAAGTCTGGCGTGCAGAAACACACACTCATGCATAAAATGTATAAATTACAAAATGACCAGTTAAGCAAAAATTGTTACGCTGTATACAACGTGAATTGGACATTTAGTAGTGTTAAAATATATTTTGGCTAGTTGTAAATTTTTTTTTAGCTTTAACTCTTTAAAAGATTGTTTTTAATACAATCTATTACAGTCTGAGTTCAGTTAAAATATTTTTTACGATTCTGTTGTATATTTTGAATTTTTTAAGCTTTCTGTATTTTTACTCAATTACAAAATAGTGATGTAGTGTTTTATTGCCACCCATGAGGTTGTCTGTCGGTCTATCTGCATGCAATACAAACTACAAAATATTGAAAAATAAATAAAAAGAAGAAAAAAATTGGCAAAAACCAACATGATTTGCATGATTTAGCGGTTTAGAAGTGAAAACAAAATTGAGTTCATGTGTGGTCTTAAAAAAAGGCTAAAAATCATCATATTCATATTGGTAACAAGTGGTATTTCATTTAAACATGACTTAAAAATATTGACTTTTAATTTTGTTTTTTTTTTTTTTTTTTTTTTGCAAATATTGTTTAATTTATGAGCAACAGTATATTTTACAATACTTTGTTATTTCCAATTGAAATAAAAATATTAAAAAAATGTTCATGTTTATGTTAGTTACTTTTTATATTTTCATTTTAAAACCAGCGCTAAACATAACAACTTTTCAAAATGTCTTATACCCGCAGCAATATTTTGTAGGAATTACTTTTTTTCAAGTATTATTGTTGTTATTGTTATGTCTTGCGGAATATGTAAAAATGTTTGTAAATATTTTGCTTTATTTTGTAACATTTTTCCCATCACTTTTTTTAAATGAAAATACAAGGAGAGAATGAAAAAAATCTTGTAAATGCAGACATTTTTTTCTCTCTCGTTATTTTGTTGTTATTAATATTTGTGTGTTGATAAGACAAACACAACTACACAAAACAATGGTAGCAACAAAAACTCACAAAGCTTAACACATGTCCCCCCAAGGATATGTCAGTACTTTTTTTATTATTATTATTTTTTTTTTTTTTGTTATTTATTTAATTCTTTTTTTTCATATACAAAATATTTTTGTATTTACATTTATTTTATATAAAAAATATTATTTCAGTCGACATAAATAAAATGAAAGAAAAACGAAAAAAAAAGTTAGAAATTATTTTAAAATAAAGTTTTAGCTTTATTTTGGTAAAGTTTTTGAGTTTAGTTGTTAGAGTGTTTATATAGGGCCAAGCCTATAGTGTTTTAATTTTAATTTCAAAAACTTTTTAGAAGTATTGTATATTGTTTCCAGAATCAAGCTTATTATTGTATATTAAACAAAATTTTTATTTTTTATGTAAAATCAGTTTAAAATTTTTTTATTAAAAAAAGACTTTTGGCTCTTCATAGAAATCTAATAAGACATTTTTTGTGACCTCCGGTAGGTTAGTGGTTAGTGTTCTAGTCTGGTAGACCGAAGGTGGTGAGTTCGATTCCCACCTGATTCACTGGTTGAGGAGCGCACAACAGGCCCTATAGAGGCCTGGGTGTATTTCTTCGGATTTGATGTATATTCATCCTCCTTTCAAACTAACTAACTAACTAAGACATTTTTTAGAATTCAAATATCTGTTAAAGCTACATCATGTAAGATAGTTGCTACCGATTTTAAGCCATTTAAGGATATTGGCTTTTTTATGATGTAATACCATCAAATTCTTTGAATATAAACATTTACTCGATCTGCAACATACATACGTGAATGAGTTAAGACCTGTTGTCCTTAAAACTTTGGAGCTTATGAAACAAAACTTTGTTTTATACCCTACACCACTATAGTGGGGAGGTTATTATGCGTTTGTGCTGATGTTTTTAATACCCAAAGTATACAAATCGGCTCAGAATCACTTTTTGAGTAGAATTAGCTATATTCAAAAGTCACAATATTCAAAATAATTTGATGAAATTTGGCACATACTCTTCTTTTGACCCAAAGACGAAGCATATTGAAAACTGTTAAAATCGGTCAATTATTTCGTATAGCCCCAAAATACCGTAACCCCGAATAGGGCTTTTGACCTTATAAATATGTTAAATGTTCTTGTATCACTTAAAAAATTGGCAAAACTTTTTAAATAGTCTAAGCAATACTGTTAATTTTCGTAATGATCGGGCCTCATTTGGCCCTATCCCCCATACAAAGTCCCCTTTAGAAAATTACTTGATGGTCAAAAATCACTTTGATTCACGTTGATATTCTGCATAAATAACTGATGTAGACGTAAATCCCTCTACCAAAATTTATAGGGATTGGATGATATTAACCCCCTGCCACCATATAACCTCTCTTTTAGAAAATTTCTTTTTTGTCAACAAATTGTTAAATATTTCTGAATTAAGGTAAAAAATTAAATTAGATACTTTATTATTAAAAAAATAATCAAAATTTGGAACATAATCATATGGTCGGCCATGCCCGACTATAAATTCTTATATTTTTTTTTTTTTGTTATGAAAGTATTGCTCTGATTAGGCAATATCAGAACTCTCAAGGGTCGAAACGATATCAACCTATTCTTAAACTTTAAATGGGTAAGAACCTTTCTTGGTATGAAGGTTGTGGTCGTGATATAACGTGCCCAGTGGACCACTTTTTGTAAGCGAACTGACGCCGTGGGATGAACCAAACGTAATATATATAATATATATAATATATATAATATATATCTATATTGAATTCTACTTTAATTTCCATATACATATACAACAATTTAATGCTTTAAAACAAATTTTTAAGCAATAAAATATATTTAGCTTGGGTACAACGTTTATATAGACACGAAAATGATTCGGAGTCGATTGGTATAATACTTGGTGGGTAAGGACCAATATTTTCGGGCGTTAAAAACATAAGCACTAACGCATACCACACTCCCCACTACAGTGATGTAGGGTATAATTACGATACAGGTTTTGATAATTGTCATAGTTGAATATGTATAACACTACAACTTGTTAAGTGAACTTTCATTGTAATCGAATTTTTAAATAACAAGCACCTACATACACTAAAACCACTTAATTTGTCAATAAATCTAACATTAAATCAACTCCCAAAACATAAATATAAAATAGCAAATAAAAGAAACTATTTAAACTTACCAGGACGATCCAATTCGTGTATCAGTTCATCCGGCTCTAAATATGAGGCATAAGCCAATATTGATGAGACAGATGATGTTGATGACGACGAGGATGATTTAATAATGAGATTTCCGATATTTAAATTACGACCACCATTTGTAAAGAAGATTAAACAAATGCCAAATAGCCACCATAGATAATAGGTAACAATATTGTGAGAAGGCTTATGCCATATCCCGCTGGGTCGTTGATGTTGATAGTTGCTTATTTGTAGCTGCTGCTGCTGGTGCTGACGATGATGTTGCTGTTTGCAATAATTGTGTTCTTGTTGACGGTATTGATAACAATATTCATGATGTCGTTGTTGTTCATGTTGGTTATGTAGGGAATTGGTTTGATGTAGCTGGTGTTGGTGGTGGTGATGATGATGCTGATGTTTGCGATGTAGATGATGTTGCTGATGATGCTGGTGGTGAGGATGATGATGTTGACAATGTGTGGAAGATTTTGTACATTCTGTTGTACATGTTAAGTCTGTTGTTGTATTTGTTGTGGCTGTTCTCGTACTTGTAGTCGTTGTTGCTGTAGCTGTTGTTCTTATTGTTGTATAACCGGAGGAGGAAATGATAACCGCAGGAATCATTTTTAATTTGATTATTATTATTTGCTGCTATTGTTGTATTTGTTCTTTTCTTTATTATTGTTATTATTGTTCTCGTTTATATATTCCCGTATACACATTTATATATATTCAAATACACTCAACAAAATACTTTTGTTGTTTGATATATAAAACTGACTTTTTGGTTTCTCCAACCATGTCAGCCTGTAGCAAACAATAAGCAAATACTTTGGTATTTATGAAATATTAGTTTATTTATATAAAATATTTCGTATGGTTAGTTGTCATCGTTGTAGCTGCTTTTTTAGTTACTGTTTTGCTGTTTAGAGATTTCCTTTTTTACTCTGTTTTTTTTTTTTTCTTTAGTACATGAGTGCGATGTGGAAGTTGTTCGTTCTGGCTTTACTACTAACAATTCTCTAATGTATTTTAAAATTTTATATGTATAGTTTTGCTAGGTTTGCTTGGTTTATTATTTATTTTACTTTTTGTAGTTTCTTTCATGGAATTTCAAATAGAATCCTTTTTTAGCAAAAGTACTGATGGTTTAGTTGAAGAGTATGTGTGAATATAAGGAGCTACTTTATTGTAACTATTATATTGTGTGTTTTTGTTTGTATCATTTGATGTCTATTTTTTTCAGATACAACTTTTACTATATTATTTTTGTAAACACAGCCTGTTATATTTGTATTAGTATATGTATATTTGTTGATATGTATTTCCGTCTATATTTAACACACACATATTATTTTACCCATTTACTTGTGTGTATTTGTATTTCACATTTATCTATTCATAACGTTATTCGTGTATTTCATTATATTTTCGTTTCGTTTTATTTGGCTCTTTTTAGTAGATGTGTTCTGCTATTTCTGCTTGGTTGGCTAACTAGCTGGCTAACTGGTTGCCTGTCCGTAACCACACATTCTAGCATACATACATTCCCTTGTGTGCTAGTGTAGTTGTAAGTTAAAAATATTTTCAGTCTGTTGAAGTATTTCCGCTTTTTCTTCTACTCTTTTCACTCGAAATCGCTCTTACTATTGTTTGCCTTTGGTTATTTTAGCGCAAAATTTTTATTTATTGTACTTATTTGTTTACTATACATACATACATATGTACAGACACTTTATTACACACATACATATGTAAATGTATTTGTATCTATGTGAATTTTTAAATTTTTGTTGAATTTTAGTTTGGATATCCGTTGCGTTGTTTTTGTGTTTATAAATAAATATTTGGATTTTTTGTTTTAGTTTCTCTTTGTTTTTATTCCATCATCCAATGTTCATCCAATTTACTAAAACAATTCAAAACTGCATCCTGTATTTGTCAATATATATTTTTTACGTTCTGATCGTTGTTTTTGTTGTTGTTACTTGTTATTGTTGAATTTTGTAAAAAAAAAATTCTGTAAAAAAAGATAGAAATGAGAAGAACAACAAAATTATTATTTCAGTTTTTAGTTTGGTAAAAAAAAAAAACAGTATAAAACAATGTTTTTTATATGTATGCATGTATTTTATATAAATTGTTTATATATGTTTTAGGGGAAAAATATGTACATAGTTTTACTTGATTAAATCGATTATTAGAAGAGTATAACAGAAAATATTTGTGGTTAAAAACCAAAACAATGTTGTAGTAGTAAAAATTTTTAAGTTTAAAATTTAAGTTTTTTTTTGGGTAATAAAGTGAATGATTTTAAAGCTAACATATGGGTAATTCCATTTCAGAGGATACCCATGCTGTCTAAAATATTGTGTAATATAAGGGGGTATTGTACGTGACAAAAAAACGGAATAAATAATATAATTTGGAAGTAGGATCTATGTTCATATAAAACTTATTTATGCCAAATTTTATCATAATACTACACCATTTCCAATTGTATTTCAGAACTTTCCATTTGAATTTCAGAAAAATTTCTTATTATATATCACAAATTTAAATTTGTTTTTCAGAATTGTTCATTGTTTTATTTGGCCGATTTCAAAAATGTTCAACGTCTTAAGTACAACAAAATATAAAACTTTGTTTAAATCAAATATGCAAAAATTTTAAGGGTTTAATATTTTAGTCGTGGCTTACACTCTCGTGCAATTGCCCATATTGTAAATTTAGAAATTATATTAAATTTATAAAAGAAATGGGACTTAAAAAGAATTGTATAAAATTTTTTTGATCAGTTTAAAAGGTACATTTGGCCTAAAACAGTAATAAGAATATCAAATTTCACGAAAATTTAGTTTTATTATTAAAATATTTGAAACCACGAGTATGCCTTTGAACTGAAAAATATAACGAACGAATACTTCATCTTCTAAAAAATTTTATTTATTATGGCTTAAGTTAAATTAAAAAAAATCGTAACTATTTTATTGTTGCTTAATTTTATGAAATTAATTTTATAATTTCATAACACCCTCTATGAAAGAAAACAATATGAAATTCCACATAATTACATTTAATAAAACAAAACCTTAACCAAGTACTTCAAATAAATCTACTTTAACACTATAAAAACCACTTACAATAAATATTTTACTCATCATAAATAATTTCGAAAATAAAAGCAATTTTAAGTCTTCATAAAATTAAAGACCATAAATACTTAAGCGGAAAGTAGACTAAAAACATTACAAAATAAAACGCCCTAGAAATTAAAATAGAAATTCACTATAATTTTACAATAGCGCCTACATTTTTCAAGAGAAATGCTTTCGAAAAGAAAACTCCAGTAAAGAAAAAGGTTTATTAAATATGCATGAACATTAAATAACTTTAAATGTGACAAACAATTAAATAAATTATTCCCCCTCCTAGTAAAAGCAATAGTAATAAAAACAATATTTACAGTCAATCTTATGAAATAAAATTGTAAGTTTATATGAGAATACATACATATAAACATACATAGTATGTATATTTGTTTTTTTATTCAGACTCCCAAAACATGTGTTGAACATAATATAATTGTTTGATTACAAATACATATATACACTAAGACATGCTAAATATACCCAGCAGTTCGGCCGGATAGTCTCAAACTACCGATTTAACCTACCACTTAGGGTTACCCCCAGTGACTAGCTATTTTAATAAGAGCTTGTAATACGAGGAAGCCAATCGTCACCTCATATATTAGGAAGAGATAGAAAAAAAGCTTAAGTTTGATTTTTAAGTGTACCCTCTCTTGCTTATAAAGGCGACACTAAAGTGGAAATTATCTTCACCCTCGTTTACAAAGAGTACATTCGTGACGAAAGACGAATTAGAGCCAACCAGGTGGTTTGACTCTTTGTCGAACTGCAGTGTATAGAACCAAGTAGACTTACACACCTCAATATCCGGCAGTTCGGAGCGACTGTGATTTTTTATCATTAAGAGGCCACTTTTTGGATATTTTAACTCTAATTTAGAAATCGATAAACAGATAACTTTGCACTTCACTTCTATCACAAATGGGCAACTGATTCTACAATTTGTAGGAAATGGGACTATAATAAAAATTGAAAACTTTTATATAATTAATCATTGTATTTTTGCACAAATATAAATTTTTAAGATATGGCGAACAACGGTCCAAATATGAATAGTCAATAATGATAACAACAACTTACTTTTTAATGACAATTTCATACTATCTTCATAACTTTTAAGTAGTCTAGTAATGACTGACATAACTATTTATAATGTTTATCATAAACACTGTCTTTTTACACAAACAATAGAATATAGAATTTAAGTGTGTGTGTGTATGTATTATTTTACATATCGTGAACCATATTTTTAAACAGAGTCGAAGATTTTAAATTTATTTAATTTTAAGCCGAATAAAATAGAATGTTTTCCTTTTAAGTACAACACTGTTATTATGTTAAGTTTTACTGGTAAGTTTTGTCCCTCTACAAGTAAGGATTTATAGTCGAACGAGGCCGGCAGAATAGTACCCTAGACCAGTTAAGATTATAAAATATTGCCTCATATATATTTAAGAAATTTATTGATAAAAAACTAAATTTCTGAAGAGATTTGATATCAGGGCTGGAGGAAAATGAGAACCGATCGTCATAAAATTTGGTGGATGGATTTACGTTTACATAAAATATATTTATCCTATTCTGAAGGTTCAGTTGTATGGGGGCTAGTTGAAATAATGAACCATTATCAATAGGCTTTGTATCTATAACAATATAAGATAATGTACCAAATTTCATAAATCGACTCACAAAATGATTCTAAGCCGATTGATATACTTTAAGGTGTATAACCAATATTATTGTATATTACAAACATCAGCACAAACCCAATATACCCTTCCCACTAAAGTGGTGTAGGGTATAAATATTCTTGGTAAATGTGTGCGTATAACATACAAATTTTTATATGTGCGTAAATGAGTATTCTATGTAACAGTGATGGGAAATAGAAAAACTATCACATAAATTTGTAATTAATTAGTAAGAAAAACCTTACACGTTATATAGCCTCTGTAAAGCTATGTACATTAGGGTTGCTCCGTTTGTATGGAGGAAAAATAAAGTGTCAATGTTCCCTACTAAAATTAAAGTTTAATTGATTATAATATAGTATTTCTCAAAATTTTTGTCCTGGGGTCAATATTTGATGAGTTGGATCAAAGGATAAAAAGGTCCTTTTTTAGGTTTTTATGATTTTTTTCATATTTCTTCCAAAAGAAGAATATCAAAATTTGTTATCATAAGAAAGGTCCTTAAGTGACGCTTTCAACGGCATATCAGAAATTTTAAAAATTTTAAAAACTTAAAAATTTTCCGAAAAATTACGACATTTGTAATAATTTTGGAGTTGTATACAAATTTGTTATGTAATTGAAATCGTCTTCCAAAGATCTTTCATATTATACTAAATTAGCATAGGGTTTATTTGCCAGAAATAACTTAAAAATCATAAAAACCTTAAAAAATGACCTTTTTATCCTTTGATCCAGCTCACCACATATTGACGTCAAGACAAAAATTTTGAGAAATGGTATCTTAAAATGAACTAAATATTCATTATCGGTGGGAACATCAGCAACTTCAATTTTGGGACAACCCTAAAGAACATACAGTGTCTCACATAAATATTCGAATTTATTATTACTGTGTTATTTTATTATGCTACTTTAAAAATAATAATAGTATTTAAAATTTTTTAATGAAATTTTATTAATTTATATTATTTTTACGAAATACAAGAAAAAAGTAATAAAAAATCATTAATGGTTTCCAAGAAAATGGAAAAAACCCAAAGAGGGTCATTTCAGGTACTTCGCAAAAATATTCGAATTTTTTCTAAGAACTTTTTTAGAATCCTTGAACACGTGTTTTATTGCCCATTAATTAACACATTATGCAGGTAGTGGTTATATTTAATATTTAACATTTTTGGAAATTTGCATAATTATGTTGTAAATCCTTCCTGTGTAAGCGTTTTAAAAGTTCAAAAAAAAGGGTTGATCAATTCAAATTAAAAAATTAATTTATATCTGTATAATCAAGGCCGATCAATTAAATACATATAGGAAATGTTTAATAGATTCCCATCGACAATATATTTGTCATTACACTCATGGAACAAAAAATTCCATCGAGTATTTACCATTATCAAGTCGTCCAAAACTGCTGTCAATACAGGACGACAGAGAAATACTGAGGAAATACCGAAGGAACCTTCATCTATCAGCTCCAAAAATTAATACATTGAATTCGAATACTTATGAGAGACACTGTATGTTGTTTGAACAACATATTTGTACCTATGCACACGCCTACATATCATTACAATTTTCTCTTAACTGATTTTCATGTATAATCGCACATAATGTTGTATGTATATTCATACTTTGGAATATTAACATTTAGTGAAGCGAATGGATACAGATATTATTTAAGTTGTGTTACGGCAGCTTAAACAACCATAAGTCTACAAAAAGCCACAATGTATTTTATAATGACTCAATTAAAAGAAAAGGGATTTTCATTATGTAAACCTGGAAATATAATTAAAGAAATGATTATGTTTTAGAAAAAAAAAACACATATTTATTATATGTAGTTTAAATACTAAATAAAGTTTTATAAAATATATACTATAGAAAGTTGTGCAAAAATTCTAACATAATAAATCGTACATACATAGGTAAATAATATAAATAAGTTTTAAGTAATATAAATATTTGAAATAATATAAATAATTGATTTTAAATTATTATGAAAAATTTAAAACTTAAAGAGGATAAATGTAAGATTCTGCATATTAATACAATTTATTCAAAATTCTCTAAGCATAAACAACGTGTTTTAATTAAATTTCTTTAAATTTTGTTCAATACCAAAACTTTTAATTTAATTAGGTCAAAATCTGTGTATATGTCAAATTGATTAT